TACATGTTTTTTAAACTTTTCTTCAATCAAAATAACCGGTTTTTGTTTTTTTGGATTCCATGATATCTGCCTATCTGTTGGTCCTTGAAAGCGAAAACTATAAAAATTAGAAATATTAATGAAAATCGACATACAGTGGTCAGATATGCGGATCATTTTATGCGTACAAAACGGTTTTAAATGCACTTAAACTGTTATAAATCAAATATAAATTAAGTTACAAGTAGTTAAAATTTGTTAAAGGCCGTTGTGCTTTGTTAAATAAACATAACTCTAAGAAAGTTGTTATGATATACAAGTTCAATGCTATTTTTAAATATTAATTATGTACATAATATGTATGTATATATTTATTTTTAATTCAAAATCAAAATGTGTGTAGGCTGTAGAAAACCATACTGAAATTGCAGGTAAATGTTGTGGTGTGATATATGAGAGAGGCTGCAGAATAATATTAAAGCAAGTTACATTGTAGGTGCCTGCGAGTGAATAGCTGGGTTTTGAACTCTATGATTGTAAGGGTGAATAGTAAAAGGATTACATTATATGTCCCTTAAAGGACCACTTTTATATTAAATAAACTTTGCCTAGCGCACTATATGCAAAATTATTGAATTCCACATTGGGATAGAAAAAAACAAAGACGCGAAATACTCGCACATACAAGACTCTGCGTAAAAAATAGTAAAAAAAGAAAGACACAGGCCTGTAATTTGAATATTTAAATTACAAATTTTATTTGTGCAGCAATAGAGATTTCAAATTTGCATTAGATTCATTATAAAAATAGCACACAATGGATTTGCTTATTGAAACGTGTGTTTGTATGTCACAGGGGTGTGAAGGGGTCGCATTGAAAATTGTATTGCAATTTCTTCTACATGTAGCCCGTTTCTTTTATGGAACACCTTTCTAAAACACAGTTGCAAATGTAATGTAGCGTTAGAGGGGTGATGTACTTTCCATAATCCTGAACCGAATTCAAAAATTTGCATAACAAGGAAAATAGAGCAATTTTTTTTATTGGTAGCCGAATTTAGCGGCAGATGTAATTTTCTTTCTACATATGTATGTACGTAAGTATATAAGCAGTATGACTGATGAGATATGACAGTACGAGTATATGCCTATATATGCAATTACATAAATAGAAGTGCACATAATAAACAAGTAAGGAATCATTAAGTTCGGGTGTAACCGAACATTTTATGCTTTTGAAACTTGCAAGAATCAAAGCCCGGGAAATTCCTTCAGTTTCTGCCAAATTTTATATTAAAAAATGTTGTGAAAGAATTAAATATTTATTATTCGATGAAATAGTGAATAAATTATAATCAAATGGGGTATCTTCTTGACTTATACTAAAGGTCATAAACTTAGACTTAGTTTTATTGTTATATTTAAGTTCGCGTCATGTAAAATTATATTAAAAACACCTTCAAATGAGATATATGTATGTCATGTGATATTAACTCGACCGAAGAGGGTAAATTTAATATATTGAGTTGGTGCGGAAAACGTCAACCAGTCGATCGGAATTCATTATATTAGGAATATGAGGTTTAAACCAAGGTATATTTTTTAATTCAACGCCAAACCACATAATTTCATTAAAATAACACATTTTGACCAACCTGAACGAGTGGAAAGACGGAATTTATTATATGGGGTATATTGGAGGCAGAGAAACGGACTGATTGCATTCATTTCGACATTGTTCAGACATACTTGAGAACATATTTCAAGCAAGTTTTTAAATATACAACTCACACACCGAACTACATATACGGCATAAAATTTGTTAGAATGACGAAAATCATTATAAGTAGTATATGGGAATTGGGGTAGTATTGACCCGATTTTATCTATTTTTGCTAATACCACATACTATTAACATGCCACATACTAAAAAAATGCTCCAAGGGTTTCATTCCGGCACCTCACACATCATCAATCATATGGAGTAAAGTCCGCCGGATGTTCGAAAATCCTGTTATTAGATATATGGGTGCTACTCCTTCAGCGTTGATCAGCTTACCATGGCGAAGGGGTTTATCCCGCACCCCAAATGGAAACGAACTATCCTATTACGAACTAAAGGGGATACCTCATAATTCACAAAATATGGAGATGGATGAATAAACCCTTGGTTTTACGCCCATCTCCGTTTTGAGGGTGATGATACCCGCACGAACACCACCCTAATTAAAATAACAATGACCTGGACTTAGTTTTGAGGTACCCGTGCCGATGGCTGAATGGTCAGTGGGCGATAATTGAGTAGCTGATCGCGAACGGTCGCCTCCCATGCCCGGGCGAGGTCGGAGGTAACTAATGTCTTCTCTCCGCATACCGGCTCTGCGGACGAGTGAGCAACCCTTTCCGGATTACTCTTGGGACCAACTATGAACACTAACAACAACAATAACATCTGACACCTTGCGAATACCGCAATGACGACAGGGAGAACGACAAATATTAACACTTATCGGCAACCTGCTCGCCTCCACTCAGGAGACGATAAAGAGCATTACCGCGCGTGACAGCAACAAAAACACAGGATACCAACCAAAATACCCTAAACTCAGATATGGAACCATTAACCTCCAAGGCAGCTAAGAGTTCCAACCAGAGTTCACTGGCAGCCAAAGGGGAGGTACAAACTAAAATAATAAAGAAATCTCTAAATCAACTGAGGAAGACCTGCTCTTCCAGCTGCCAGAGGGCAGTCTTTGGTCTCGCAAAGATAGCCAAGGATCAGGCGGCTGGCGCATCAGTCGATAAAGAGGAGATAAAGCGCTAGACACAGGTGGTGGACGAGTATGAGAGTTCCCTAAAAAGGAAGCAAATGAAATCTCCCCCGGAGACCACCACCAAAGCAAACACGCAGAAAAGAAATCGCTCCCACAACGACTCGTTGGAAACTCTGGCCAAAAAACTTTAATAGGTGGGAGTCGATACAAGCAGCATAACAACAGCTAGACACTTTTGCGACGTGACCAGGGACCGCCTGTAAGTGTCTATAATAGACGGAAACTCTACCACAGCTAATACCATTCAGGATAGAGGGACGGAGATAGACGTTAAATTGTAGAGGCTAGAGTTCTCGACAATCCAGCGGGTCCCCATTTGGAGTTTGACTCCTCTGAAGCCCTTATAGGATACAGGGTAATCAAAAGCGCGGACCAGGCCTCTTTGGATTTCCTGGCGGGTAGCGACGTCTTTGATCGCCTCAAAATGAAGCTCATATCTGCTAAAGATATCCCAAAGAGACCTCGTGCTTGCATATGATTGCCCCCTTTATTAAGTGCATTAAGCTACAGAATAAGTCTATACCGGGAATAGACGACTGGCAGATTATTAGCCAAGCATGGCAGTACGCGCAGCGGTGGATTTATCAGCAGGCTGAGTAGGCTGTAGCCTAGGGCGGCAAATTTTAGTCGAAAATTTTTTATTTCGATTTTCGGAATAAAAAAAAATTAACATTTGTACAGAGAAGACAAATTGTAAAAATTTTACAGGAATTAAAGTCTTTAACAAAAAAAATATACAGTACAACAAAAAATATACTATACAACATAGTTAATACTTTAACGTCTATTTATGAACACTTGCTAAACGCTTTATAAACTATACTTGAATCATTGTGAACTTTCAGAATATCGCAGCAGGGATCCGATATTAGCATTGAAATTAAGATACTTTTACATATTTTTTTCACTAATAATTACTATAAGTTTTCTTCTATGCACAGAGAAAAAACGATTTACTTGAATCAAATAAAAAATTGTCTTCCAATTCCTTTTCTTGATCGAAGTAAACATTTTTTCCTTCATTCAGTATATTTTTTTGTCCTGAGAAATTTTAGATTCTTGCTCTAATAAACTTGTGTCTTGGCTGAAGTAAATTTTCTTGTTTCAAGAATATTTTTGTCTTGGCTCAAGAATTTTTGTCGGGAGAAACTAAAATTTTTAATTTTCAAAAATATTATTTTTTTGGCTTTCAGAAGTTAGCAAATTAGTTTCTAAGAATTGTTGCTCTTGAAAATAATTTAACGTCCGTCGGGATCAAACCCACGATTTTCTCTGTATGAAGCAGAGTCGCACGCCACTGCGCTAAATCGTTAATGCTCAGTGATGTGTTTTTTCATCTACATAAAAACACTTCCACTTTCACTTTCAGAGTTTGGGGTTGGGGACTACTTAAAGATCAAGAAAGGAATTTTCTTATCATATGAATTTTTTTCTTGGATAAAGGGTAATCTTACTTGTTGCTACATAGTATAATAGTGTTGTTAACCTTACGGTTGTTGGTATCACCTTAAACTGATCGAGTTAGATATAGGGTTATGTATATATAAATGATCAAGATGAAGAGACGAGTTAAAATCCGGGTGACTGTCTGTCCGTCCGTCCGTCCGTCTTTGCAAGCTGTAACTTGAGTAAAAATTGAGATATCTTTATGAAACTTGGTACACATGTTTCTTAGTACCGTTTGTATTGCAGATGGGCGTAATCGGACCACTGCCACGCCCACAAAACGCTATTAATCAAAAACGAATAAATTGCCATAACTAAGCTCCACAACAAGATACAATACTCTTATTTGGTATATAGCATCACATTAGGGAGGGGCATCTGCAGTTTAAATTGTTTTTTAAGTGGGCGTGGTCCTGCCCCCTAATAAGTTTAATGTGCATATCTCCTATACTACTGAAGCTATAATAACAAAATTCACTGGGAACAAATGTTTGTTGTGCACTTCTACCTACAGTGTGAAAATGGGTGAAATCGGGTGACAACCCCGCCCACTCCCCATATAACGGTACTGTTAAAAACTACTAAAAGCGCGATAAATCAAGCACTAAATAAGCCAGAGACATTAAATTTCATCTTTGGGATGGTATAAGATGATTTTATAGGAACCACCTTCAAAATTAGATATCTTGGGATCTGCTTAACCGGTTTCAACCAAATTCGGTACATAACATTCTTCTCATATTATTCTTTATTCTTAATATTGTTTTTAATTCTTATAGTCTGGTAACATCGAATTCAACAACTAAATTATTGTACCTATTCCTTTGAACATGGCAATACCGAATTCAGCAACTAAATTATATTATCCCGTTATCCCCGTAAATAAATAATTCTAATGTTTACGATAAATCACCCGTAGCGAAACATTAAATTTGACTTGATAACAAAAGTGTATAAAAAATTCAAAATTCTAGTCTTATCATACTTATAATTATCTGTTTTGCTTTTATAAGGTAAGTATTCAAAGTTAGAAATCTGAACAAAGGATACTGTTAATTGCGTACAGAAAACTATACTTTTAATTTACTATTTAATTGTTTCAGTTCTTGAATCAAAAATTGTCAGAATGAGTGATGGGAAAAAGCAACTTAGTGGGGCCGAGTACAGAAAAAGAGCAGAAATTAAAAAAGAAGAACAGAAAGAAGTCATCCGACAAACAGTAAAAATTGAAAAAATTCCCGCGATATGGATAACTGACGATAACTTGAGGGAGATGACCACAAGGTACGGCTTTGATCAAAACAAATCTTGTGCTTTCTCTAAAAGTGGGAGAATATATGCTGATCAGCGTCGTTTTTTGCCAATTAGTATCTTCCAAAGAAAAATGAAAAATAATGAAAATATCGAACTTGGTTAGTTAATTCTGGAAGTAACATATCTGTATATTGTGGACCGTGTTTGGCATTTGGTCCATTGGAGTCTAGAACTCTATTTGAGAACGGAGGATTCAAAGACTGAATGCAGATCACCGAGTAGCTTAGCATGAAAACTCTGCGCGTCATAAATCGAGTATTCTTAGTTTGAAAGATAGAAATAAGATTGATGACCGACTTGATAATTTATTGCATATATATTTGGCCTTTTACGTGTATTGTTCTGCTCATTCTTTCAATCTAGTAACAACTACCGCTGCTGAATCGACTACAGAAGTTTGTCGCTTTTTCATATTGTTACAGGAAATCTACGATTTTTTGTAAGCTCGACACAACGCTGGCAAAAATTAATGAATCAAATCGGAAAAGGCAAAAAACGTTAAAAGTGTAAATTTGACACGCTGGGCAGCTAGAGAGGATGCATGCAAAAGTTTGAAAGAATCTTGGCATGAAATTATTGTAATATGAATTAATCAAGGATGATTGTACCGAAAAGCCTGTGACACGACAAAAAGCGGCAGGGATATTTTCGAACTTGTAAAAACTGCAAACGGTAGTAATGGTTGTTGTATGGAATGTTTTTCTGGAGAGAATAAACAAAGTGAATGTTCAAATTCAAACTTCTAATATAGATTTGATCACTGTTGCTGATCTTTACGAATCACTCCGTAAGTTCTTCATAGCTGAACGAGAGAATTTTAATTTTTTTGAAGAAAAGGCAATGGAATTGAGTGTATCAAAACAATATACAAAAGAGATGGGAAAACGACAGCCAAAAAGAAAAACAAGATTTCAAGAAATTCCCGAAGAAGATATTCAAATGGCTGCAAGTGATTACTTCAGAGTTAACACGTTTCTCGTTCTCATAGATAGATTCATATCCGAATTAGCAAAGCAGCAAGATATATAACGGACTTAACGAGAAATTTTCATTTCTTACTAAAATTAATGAGTTGTCACCATCAAGTCTGACAGAAAAAGCCAGTCTTTTGGAAGAAACGTACCCTAATGATTTAGAAACATACTTAGCTCAAGAATGCGTACACTTTCAAGCCTCTGGTCTGTCCTCTGAAAAAACTTGAATAAAACCAAAGTCAGGATCATTGAAAAGTCTGTCTTCGTTTATGCGACAACAAAATTTAGAAAATATTTATCCAAACTTGGATATAGCACTTCGTATTGCTTTATGTACACCAGCAACAAATTGTTTTGGTGAGAGAAGTTTTTCTTGCTTGAAGAGAGTCAAGAACTATCTATGATCGACTTTAAGTCAAGAAAAGCTAAACACATTAGCTCTTTTAAGCATAGAGTCAGAACTAATCAACAAGATTTCATTCGACGATATAATCAATGATTTTGCCAATTAAAAGTCCCGCAGAAAGTTATTGTAATGCTTTTATAATTTAACCTTATTTTTAATACTAACAGATAATTAAAAAAGTAGAATTATTATTCTGTTTTTAGATAGGAATTGTAATAAAAAATATTTGTCAACCTTCTTGGAGTGTACATTTTTTGTGTAAGCTTTGTTCATATAATATAAGTATTGTATAGTTTCAAGACATATCTTAACTTTTCTTAAAAGAATTACATGAGGAGATTTTCTTTGCTTAAATTTGGTATTTCTTCATAATTATTTAATGTGTAAATAATCAAGGATTTTATACCGTACCTTAGTTTTTAAGTCATAAAGTGGAAATTTTAGGAAATGAAAATGAAAACTTAAACTAAGCTATCGAATTTCAGAGGTAGTAGGGGCGGCAAAAATTGAAAAGCGGCGGCAAATCTATAAATCCGTCACTGAGTTCGCGCTTGACTATTTGAAAACAATATGGCTGCTCCCATAACAGTTCATGGCACTGGTATAGATACGCACACGTTGGATTCGGTTTGGTCTTTTTCGGATTGTCATAGAAGCAGAAATGTTTCGCTGCCCTCGCTGATAAGCGATTCCATTCCGTTTGGCTGTCTTATCAGACTTCTTGAACAAATGTCCGTGATGTTTGATGCCTTTTATATTCTTCAAACCGATTTGACCGGAACATTTGCACAAAGTTGCATAGATTTGTTCGGCTGCCTTTTCCACCACAAACTGTTGGTTGAATTCAGGCTGTGAACCGTTAACCACACGGCAGAAGGGAGAAAAGCGAAATAATCAAATAAATAAATATAAATAAATTTAAAAATAGTGACGTCAATGAACTTACTGGATACTGAGTGAGTGACCTTCGATGATTTTCTCTTTGCGATAGCGATTGATCACTGCATCCAAGCACTCGACAGTGTCCACCCATCAGATAACGTTCGCCTTTCTTTTCAATGCGAAAGCGTTGGATTTAATTATTAATGTGAAAGAAGAGCGAGTAATCGCCAGGTGAATTATCGCTTGGGCGCACTAGAAAGCTGCCAGGACCGGTTGTTGTTCAATTACATAGAAGACAAATAAATTTGTACAATTGTAGAAAATTTAAAATATTTATCTTTCAGCAGCATGTCGACTGCTTCATTCTTGGTGCAATTCGTATGGAACCAAGGAAATACCGTATTGGGGTCGATTACCGGATCCAAATCCTCGACTAGTTCACGGAAGATCATACCTTGCTCACCAGTGCGATGTGGTATAAGGTAAATGTGCCACAACACGCTTATTATTGTTCATCGGCTCCGGCGGTGGGACTGGTAGCACCAGGCGCTCACGTTTCAGCAAATCACTGCATGAGGTGTAGTAGCCAACGAGACCGCTCAGCGATACAAATTGACGTCCGCCAATATAGAAATCACCACCACAGAGTAATGCTGATGAAGTGAAAGAAGCAACAGAAATTAATATAAATTTGAAAACCAATTTGTTTTAAAGCATAAAATATTTGAATTACTCACCGAAAGTGATTAATGCCAGTTCGTCCTAAATAGTTTAATACATATGAACCAGGCTTGCGATCGCTTTCACGTACTGCAAATTATTAAAAACAAGACACATTCACATTAAAAAATCACTTATGATTAAAAAAAAAAGTATCACAAAAAAATAATTTTTAGTAGCTCTAATATTTTAATATCTTCTAGTAGTCTCAAATAACTGCCCAATTTGCCAATTCCACGTAGTCGTGATTCAGCAGAATAACGATCCAAATGCCCATGATACCATTCACCCTCCGGCGGTGCAATTATGGCTGCGGAAGAGATCCGAATAAGCCAAGTAGACCCATACATGAAAATATATCAAGGCGACAAAGCGGCTGATGAAGACGACCCGGAAGAGGTCGACGACAACAGCCAGTTGCTGAGAGGTGTTATCATCAATTAAGTCAACAATGAAATTAAGATGCGTGCAGATAAATCTGCAGCACTCAAAAAGTGCTACAGACAGTCTGACACCCTCATAAATGAGAATGTCATTGACATTAGTCTAATACAGGAGCCCTAGGTCATAGATGCCGTAGTCAAAGCGCTGAACAGCACCAACTACAACATTTTCTACAAACGAAATGAAGGTAGACCAAGGGCATACATTTTCATCAATAAAGATAAAGAGAAATACATTTATTCTTTGTTCAAATTAAAGCACAGCATATACCGCAGTGGTAGGGATAGAACAAGAGGAAGGTAGTTTCTTTCTGGTTTCGGCAACAAAGGAGAGGACAATTTAATAGGGTGTGACGTAAACGCAAGACATACTCTATAGGGAAGCTTCTGCACAAACATCTGAGATGAGTCATTCTTACATTAAATTCGAAATAGCAATTTATGCGTATGTAATAGATGCGATAAGCACAAATTCGGACAGATTTTCAAAGTGGGAGGAAGTGCTGGATTTCACACTATCTACAGAGACGGGTAGCCTTGTGGTTAATGACTGGAGAGTCTAAAAAGAAACCATCTATGATATGTCGGATCCCTCCTGGATATTTTTCAGCATTCGCGTGAAATCCGTGATATACATTTTCTGCTACATTAGCTACAAAAGGCTACGAAATAAGCTGGAATAACAATATAATCAGGAGTACTCTAGAATTAGATACAGAGGTAGAGAATATCGACAAAAATTTAACTGTCTTTTTCAGTCAATCCACACCTTTAACTGTTCTGAGAAAGCAGAAGACCCTCCTTGGTGGAACAGTGATCTAACGCAACTGTGCAAAGCCTTCAATGAAAGTTATAGGACCAAAATTTGGCAGCCTTATAAAGATATTATGAAGCAATACAAAAAAGCAATCAGGAAAGCCAAGGCCGACCCATGGTAGACCTTCTGTACATTAAGAGAAAGCTGTCCAATAAACACACCAATATTGCATATTTAAAGACGGAGGGAGGCGCATGGACCTTCTCTGCTGAAGATTCGCTTGAGGTTCTTATGAACACGCATTTCCCGGGAAGTTAGCAATCCATGGAAATAGGTGATCAACCTGAACAAGCCGTAAAAACAGGAGATCAATCTGGTCAAATTGTAAGCAAAGAAAAAATCGCATACGCCATTAACAGCACCTTACCATATAAAGCGGGTCCGGATGGGATCATTTTAAAGCCGCAGAAAATTCAAGGAATCAATGGTTCCAAGGCTTGAAAGGATCTATAAGGCAAGGATCCGGTTATATTATATCCCAAGAAGCTGGAAAAGTGTCAAGGGGGGGAGTTCTTACCAAAACCGGAACGTGTGTTCCTCGAAAATGCTAAGGTTTTAGGCCTATAAGCCTCTTTGGGTAAAAAGTCAGTTATAGGTACTGGGGTCCATATATTCGGTTCCTAAGGGCTTGAACAGTTTTGATTCGATTTGACAATTTTTGGTCATTATGTGGCATTTTTTAAAACCACTATTCGTGCAAAGTCTTATCCCGTTATATTAATTGCTTGCTTTTAATACCGGAAAGTGAAGTAATCAGATGGAAAACTGTGTTATTTGGGAAGTAGGCGTGGTTATACCGATTTTCGTACTGTAACGTAAGACTGTGCAAAGAATGTTATATACCGTAGCACCCGAGATATGGGTTTTCACCTAAAGGTGGGCGGTGCCACGCCCATTGTCCAATTCTTTTGGTTTTTATATAAACCATCCTGTGTGTAAAATTCAAACTCTCTGACTTGTTTATTAATATAATCGAACCGTTATATGGGGAATGGGCGGGTAGGGATGCTAAAAGGATTTGGTCTGATGGCGTTTTGTGGGCGTGGTAGTGGTCCGATTACTCCCATCTGCAATACCAACCGTCTCACGGTCCCAAGAAACTTGTCTGCCAAGTTTCATAAAGATATCTCAATTTTTACTCAAGTTACAGCTTGCACGGACGGACAGACGGACAGACGGACGGACGGACAGACACTCACCCAGATTTCAACTCGTCTCTTCATCCTGATCATTTATATATATGTAACCCTACATCTAACTCGATTAGTTTTAGGTGATACAAACAACCGTTAGGTGAACAAAACTATTATACTCTGTAGCAACAGGTTGCGAGAGTATAAAAAGGTACCAAATATAATTGGAATGCATTCACAATTTCATCGAATAACGAATATTGAATTTATATTCATATTCATAACCTGAATAGGTTATATTAAGTTTACCACGAAGTTTGTAATATCTAGAAATAAACGTTGGAGACCATATATTACTTAGTATATACATAGGTATATAAATGACCAAGGTTACGAGCTGAGTCTATTTGACCATCTGTCTGTTTGTGTACGCGAACTAGTCCATCGGCTTTTGACAAATCGATCTAAAATTTTGCACACGTCCTTTTCTCTTTAATCAGCTGCTTAGTTGCCGGAACCGCCGATATTAAGACACTATACTTATAGAATATAGCTACCATAAAAATAGATTAAAATCAAGTAATTATATGGAACATATAATTATTATTACATATTATTTCACAAGATACTATATTCACAAATTTCGGCATAGAGGCAATGCTATATTCTTCGAACATATTATTCTTGTATGCAAATCTCTTGTATTTGACAATAATAAATATGACTACGATATATACGAGCAAAGATTATTGTCAAAGGCAATATTACAATCTCCGAACAAAGTGTTCCGATCGAACCACTACAGCATATAGGTGCCATTTAAACTGACCGATCAAAATCAAATTAAAGATTTTTTCCTTATTAAGTAACCTTTATAAGATTTGAAGGTAGTTTATATCAAAAAAAAGGCTAGAAAGAAGCAAAATATTTTCCATTGGATGCAAACAGTTGGCCGGTTTCAGATTTAGTTATACTTACACTTGTGAAGAGTGTTATGCCAAGTGTAGTTTGGGGGCAGCCGAAGTTAACCTTTTTATACTCTAGCAACCTGTTGCTACAGAGCACCTCTGTCGACAGTGTGAAGATGGGTGAAACCAGGTGACAACCCCGCCCTCTCCCCATGTAACGGTATTGTTAAAAACTACTAAAAGCGCGATAAATCAAGCACTAAACACGTCAGAAACATTAAATTTTATCTGTGGGATGGTATGAGATGACTTTATAGCAGGCGCGTTCAAAATTAGACGGTGATCGGGGAACCTTTGCGTGAATAATGCGTTTAAAAAATGTCACTTTGTGACTAAAAATTGTCTAAATCGAACTAAAACTGTTCAAGCTCCTAGGTACTGAATATGTGGACCCCAGTGCCTATAGTTGACGAGAGACCGAATATATCGGTCAAAGTGTAAGATATATAATTGAAATTCATATAATAAAATAAATAATTGAAACTCTCTTTGTGTCAAAAATAGGTTGAATCGGATCAATACTTCCTTTAATATAAAATTTTGCCAACACCTGAAGTAATTTCCCGGGCTTTGACCCTTGCAAGTTGCGAGAGTATAAAATAAGAACTTAGAAATTCCTTACTTGTTTTTTATGTATTTATGGTGTTTGAAAAAAAAAATACTTGAATGTTTTTGAAGTGGTATTTTATATAATAAATAAATAAAAATTATATATATTTTCGGAATTTTCTATACTTTAATAATGGGGGACTCATTTTGAAAAAAAATTTCATTCCTGCGATCTAGTATTTGATCTGCGGCGGGCCTCTGACAAAATGTGTCATTCGGTGAGTTTGATTTTTATACAATGTTATATAATACTATGTTATAGTGCCTACAGAGTATAATAGTTTTGTTCACCTAAAACTAATCGAGATATATATGGCGTTATATAAAGGTACGAGACGAGTTGACGAGAGACCGAAAATATCGGTCAATTAATGAGCTATAATATTGAAATTCGGGTAGAATGTTTCTTTGATAATAAAATGCTCTTGTGTCAAAATTGGGTTGAATCGTGTTAATGGGAAGTAAGCCCCCATATACCCAATAGAAAGATCTTTGAACTTGGAGCTGACTTTATACCGCATTTATCGGCCAATTTGTGAGTTATCTTAAATAAATATTGAGTGGGAGTGTTTTCTAACAACAGTGTATCTTTGCGCCTAAATTGGATAAAATCTGGTGAAAACTTGTCGTAGCTACTATATAAACTGCTCTGAGAGTTGACGAGTTATAAAAAGGTACATTTTATTCAAAAATGCACTTGTTTTTGTTAAAAGATAATAATTTGTTGACGTTTTTAGCCTTTAGTGCTGTTCTCCTATCATATATTAGTAATCCAGCTAAACATTCTCTCCGACTCTGTAAAATTAAAATTAATTAACGAGATATTGTTTATGTGCACCGTAGGCAGACTAATGCCTTCGAATGTGTGTGTATGTG